ACAAGCCAAACGGGGTTGTTATGGCTGTTTTCTCGATGTCGGGTTCGTAAACGGGTAATTGTTGGTATGCACGATTCAGGTCGAGTGTGGTGAAAATCTTCTTGCCGTGGAGTAGGTATGTGAAGTCTTTGAGGCGAGGTACAGGGTAGCGGTCGGGTTTAGTTACGTCGTTGAGTCTTCGGTAATCGCCGCATACCCGTATGTCGCCATTCTTTTTCGGGACGACGTGTAGTGGGCTGGACCAGGGACTTTTGCTTGGACGGCATAATCCCTGCTGCATCATGACTTCAAACTCTTTCTTCACGGCCAAGTATCGATGTGGGGGTAATGGCCGGGTTTTGCTATGTACAGGTGGACCGGTGGTTTCAATGTGATGTTCCACGCGGTGTTTGGGAGTGGTCTTCATGCATGATGGTCTTAGGATATCGGGGAATTGACTCAATATTTGATGATACGGCTGTTCGACGTCTATGCTTCTTACAGTTGGCTCGGCGGAATATGAGATTGGCGCTTTGACGGTGAGGTTGGTTACTTTGTCGACAAGACATCGACCGGCTATGTCGACGAGTAGTTGGTGGTGGCGTAGGAAGTCGGCGCCGATGATTGGCTTGCTGACTTCAGCGACGATGAATTTCCAACTATAAGGTCGGCGTAGGTTTAGGTCCAATTGTAGCGTCTTCTCACCGTAGGTAGGTATAACCGTGTTGTTTGCGGCGTATAAACAGAAGTCAGTTGGGGTTATCTTCACGCCTTTTCGTTTAGGGATGACGGAGACGTTTGCGCCAGTATCAATTAGAAATGACAGACGTGAGTTTCTGTCTGTTATAAACAGGCGGTATGACGTAGTTGTTGCGCCGGTTCCCGCCTCATCCAACGCACCTTTTAGTTTTCCGGACGGGTGTTGTTGTTCTGGAAATTACACGGACGTGTGCATCGCTGTGCCTCCTTCCCGAACTTGCGGTGGTAATAACAAATTCCAGAAGATTCCGTGCGGCGTGGAGTGTTATCGCGCTGTCTGGACTGGGAGCGATATCGGTTCGATGATCGCGATCTGTTCTGAGGTCGTCTCGACTGACGGTTGCAACGATGGTTAGATTGTGCTGCTTTGAGTTCGGCGATTTCCCTCGTAAGCATATCGATTTTGTCTTCAATACTTGTAGGTACACGGGGGAAAGCGGGGTTTTCAGTCACAGCAGCGACTGTGCCATGAGGTTGCGTCTGTTCGAGTATTTTGTCAGCCATCATCGCTAGATCGTGGATGTCCGAGTGTTTAGCGATGTTGTCGCTGACAGCGAGGACTGCGCGCACGGACTGGGGGAGGTGGTTTGTCCACATAATACGAAGCGCAGCGTCAGATATATTATCCGCGGCGAGATTCTTCATCCGGCGAAGTAACTGTGATGGTTTTAAGTCGCCGAGCTCCATCTCGGAGAGAAGGCGTTGAACTTGACGCTGTTCAGACTCCTCATAGACCTGGAGTAGTCTGTTTTTGAGGGTTTCGTAGCGGTCTCTCTCCGGAGGATGAAGGATAATGTCGGATATTTCATCGAGGTCTTGTCTTTCGAGATGACCGACGACAAGCTCAAACATGGCTTGGTCGCCCTTTTTCTGCGGAGACATAATCGCCTCGAACTGCGCAAACCATAGGCGTATTCTGTCGCGCCATATGGGTGGGATGCGCAGTGACGTCGACACGCTGGAGAGTTCCGGCGTTTTTTCGTTGGAGTTGGACATTACGACGAGCTTGATTTTCTGTAGTACTAGGCGGCGATTGATTGATTCTTGCAGAGATCCGTTGGCAGCGTCGGGGTCACCAATTTAGGAGCTAGGTAGGAGAGCCTAGTGTCCTAGAGGAGGTTTCTTCTTATCTTCTAGTAGTAGTGAAACTCCGATGAGAGGTGTTGACAAGAATGATTTTATTTCGCCAAACTACGCTACTTATATTTCTATTTACATATTTACAACTAGACAAGATCAGATATAGTTAGGTAATAGTTTCGACCAATAGCGGCGCGCCGGCGTGCGCGGGGCGCGCGGGGTGCGGGGCGCCGCTTTGCACACGGCACTATCGGTTCCTTCCGTATAAGTATGACCGCGCGGCGCGAGCGCGCGCATTTCTCCGAGAGCCGGCGTCGAGTGAAGACTGAAGACTACCTACAGATGAATGAAGAATGAAGATGAATGCAAGTACTCCGGCCTCCGGCTCCGCTTGCGCTGCTTGGCTGCTTGCTTTACCAAACCGCTTCTTTCGAAGCGATCGCTCGCGGCACGGTGTGATAACGCTGTTGCCGCAGTGATGATTATCGTTTCTATGCAGGAAAGTCGAAAACTGTCTTTTTCAAGACAATTGGTTTCTGGTTTCTTAAAACGGAGTCAAAACGTAAACTGTCTTTTTCAAGACATTGGTTTCTTGTTTCTTTAAACGAAGTGAGTCTATAACTTTGGTAAAGGTATTGTGGAAGGTATCTGGTATATGGAAAGGTATTCGGTGGTACTGGTAACTGGTAGGTATGTAGTCGTGCGGTGCGGCTACAAGGGTATTTTTTGGGAACAAAACTACTTAATAGGTACATAAATAATTCTAAGTCTGTATTCATCTATAAACATTACATATTTTATTCAACTTTTTTTTAAGAAACCTAGTATTTTGGTTTGTCGTGTAGTGTTTGGCAAATAAAATGCTTTGTCTCGTAATTTCAAAAGTGTGGGGGTATTTGGATTAAAGAGGTCTGCTGTAGTTTAAAAGGATCAGGTTTATCAGATAATGCTGCTGTTCGGTCTCCATAAAATATTTAGTTTCTAAGAAAGCTCTAACAGTACTTGGCAGAACTTTCTGCCATCACCTCCTCTGCTTATTTACATGCCCATGAATTGAAAGTATTGGACTAAGGATCATTTCACGGTCTTGTAGTTAGAAGGCTCTTGTTATAAACCTAACTGTCTATTTGTAAATTGCAGGTACATAGTGACTGTCCAGAGATAACTCATGGTGAGGTAATCGTGGATAGGAAGAGTATATTCCAAGGTCATGCGGCAGAAGTCCACTCAATTGATGATGTAAAGTAAGTAAATATGTTCCTACCTACTGCAATTCTATGGTATATAGTTGAATAGGGTTTTTCACCAACTCGACACGAGGAACTGATCACACGTGTGTCCAGTTGGTGAAACTTTAAATTAGCACTAATTATTCTTTCGTCATTTGGACACGCCAAGGTTTTTATGTATGTCCACATAGTGAAAATCAAATTAAGTTACTTTTGTGTTTTCGTCAACTGGACACACGTTCACATTTTACCCGAATGTATAACAAAGTACAGTCACGCAGATAATATTTTTGAATCACAATCATCGTTGTCCTCTAAACGTCCCACCTAGTAATTTCACCGGGTAATTTTGTAATTATTCACCATTTGTGAATTTGTAAAAAATATATTTTTGACACCGAAAGTGTTTGAAAGTCGCTATTACCATGTTACGAGTACTATGCTTGTCAAATCTTCAACATGGAACCTGTTTTATTACAGTCTTTGAGTCTAACTCTAATATAAATATATGATTGTTACTCATTTGTTTTATTTCAAAATTTGTCTTAAAACCGAAACAATTTTTAACTTAACTGTACCTTTTTTAGAAAAAAATTATAGGTGTGTCCAGTTGACGATAACATAAAAGTAATTAATTTTAATTTTCACTATGTGGACATACATAAAAACCTTGGCGTGTCCAAATGACGAAAGAATAATTAGTGCTAATTTAAAGTTTCACCAACTGGACACACGTGTGATCAGTTCCTCGTGTCGAGTTGGTGAAAAACCCGTTGAATATTTATCTTCTGATTTTGAGAATCTTATACTACCATATAAAGCTGAAGAGTTTGTTTGTTTGCTTGTTTGTTGGTTTGTTTGCTTGAACACACTAATCTCCAGAACTACCAGACCGATTTTTATAACTCTTTTTGCATTGGATAGTCCATTTATCGAGGAAGGTTATAGGCTACAAAACACCACGCTACGATCAATAGGAGCCGAGCAGAGTGGTTGGAAGTAGCTAGTTCAATATAATATTATATTGATTTTGTCTCGTTCCTTAAGACTCGTTAAATTCATAAAATGGTTGTTAATAGTGCTCGATTGATTAATGGCCACACTTTTGATTACCTCTAGGTGATATAGTGGTCAAATGCAACCATCACACTGATATAATAAATCTGAAATTTTATTTCTTCGGATGTTTGTCCATCAATCTCGCTGAAAGACGGAGTTTGATGAAATTTGGTAAAAGGCAGGAAACGGGCTGACTTAGGTGATAGGTGATTTTGTATGAATGACACATGTTTAATGCGAATAAATTATCATTATCGTTATCTAGCAAGCTTTTTATGCCGATTAAATGCTCCCATGGGATAAAACTGGAAACATATTCTACGCAGGCGAAGTCTGCGGGCAACAGCTAGTCAAATATAATAGTAACTAGAATATTGAATTTGCAATGTAATTTTTAAAACCCATGTACAATAATGTGCTGTTTACTAATCAATACCTTCAATTTTTAGCGCGGTCCTAACAAAATTAAAGATGAACAAGAAGATATGTAATGCAACACACAATATGTATGCTTACCGCATAGAACGGAAGACAAGCAAGGGTAATAGCATCCTTCAGGACTGTGATGATGATGGCGAGGCGCACGCTGGTGGCAGGATGTTGCATCTATTGCAAATTTTAGACCAGAAGAATACTCTAGTTGTAGTGTCTCGATGGTAAGCAAATATTTTTATATATTTAGTGTACATACTATGGAACATTAGTTCTTTAAAGGGATATAGATAGGTGTTCATGTTGGCCAGTTGTTATAATGTGAAGTGACAACATGTAGGTGGAGAGGCTAATGCCATGTATAGAATTTTTGGTAATCGAAAATCTCCAATACTATAACAAAATTAAGATTCAAACCTGGGACCGTTTGATCGGTTGTGGCATTTTTTTTGTGATACGCCGCTAAACGAGCTTACGGATCACCTGATGGTAAGCAATCGGCGTCGCCCATGGACACCTGGAACACCGGTAAATGCGTTACCGGCCTTTTAAGGATTAGGAATTTGAGGATTGTTGGGGATTCAGAGATTGGGGAGAGCAGAGACCTTCTGGTAACCTCACTCAGACGACGAAACACAAAGCAAGCGTTGTTTCACGTCAGTTATCTATGGGGCCATGGTATTATTAAGTGAGATTATCTTAGGTCTTTCCTAAACTAAAATACTATTGCAATACTTATTATATCATGAAATATATTTATAATCATAATACATTACAGGTGGTCTTGACACAAATCGCTAATACTAGCTTGCAAAATCATTGCCTACATTATAAATCTGAATTTAATAATAACTAATTAAAGATTAATTGAAATAAATACTTTGATTTTGACTAATAATACTTACAGTCAATTAAATTGTCGAACACCAAGTGGTCACCAGTGACCGCAACCTATTGTTCTTTAATTGTGTCTATAATTACGGTACTCGACGAGTTAATACATTAATGTAGGGTCATGTATGTATATTTGTCAATTTGTTTCAGGTATGGTGGGATACAGCTAGGCCCTGACAGGTTTAGACATATCAATAATGCAACGAGACAGGCAATACAACAGGCAGGACTTTTAAAAAAATGACATTTAGCTTAACAATATTATAAGGTATGTTGTAAATAATGATCTTGTTATATAGGGTGTTTTAGAATAAAGGAGAGATCTTGGTGCTGGTTGAGGCCAAGGATTGCGTTTATTCTGTTACATCTTGTGGGTCAAAATTACTTAATTTTGTATTCAAATATAAAATTAGAGTGACTATAGTCAATTTTTTAACATGACATTTGTATGTATGTAAGTATTTTGTAATATTATGTAGTGATGAGATAGATAGATAGAGATATACATACATGTAGTGATGTGACTGATGTTTGTTAGCTACCAAAAGTCTACTTCAAGGGGTTATTTCATTTTGTCATACTGAAACTGTTCATCTATTTATTCTTTACTCTGTTTACTTTTTAGTACTAACTCTTACTGTTATATAATAATCATTATAATATAATCCAGCTACACACCAATAAACCTAGTAGTGCCTTTTCACAATCAGATGTCAAAAATATTTAAGTAACTGCTTATACATACAGCCTGTAGATAATAGTATTGTTATAAAATACACCCTGTAAACGATTGATATATGCAAATAACTTTATACTTTATTGTAGTAATCTTATAGTCGATTTTCAATCACATAGTTGTCACCGTGTAGGTGTTCATTTCTATTATAAGACTTATTAGCAGTAGCTATGTCGCTGATTGTAATAGAAAATCTTAATGTTTGTGATTTTATTTGTAATTATATTATTGACATACATAACAACATAACATCACGCCTTTTATCCCCGAAGGGGTAGGCAGAGGTGCACATAGAAGTAACACCCACTTTTCACTATTTTTGTTATGAGTCCCATGTAATAGGGGGTGAGCCTATTGCCATATACCGGGCACATTTCCAGACTCCGTGCTACTACTGAGATTTTTAAAAAACCCAGTAATACTTTGCCCAACCCGGGAATCGAACCCGAGACCCCTTGCCCGGCAGTCGCACTTGCGACAACTCGGCCAACGAGGCAGATATTATTGTTCCTAAGTAAATATAAAAGTCAGTAGTTATTCGATTCTTTATCCTTTACGAATGGAAGATAATATGATTATTATATGAGAACGAAATACAACTAATAGATTCAGGGGAAGATTAAACCTAGAAAGCGCTCAAGCAAGCAACTCATAAGCGCCCCTATTTTTTTTGGCGCCGCTACCCGCTATGTGCAGTTGGTCACGCGTGTCTCGCGACGCCTGTCTATTACCTGGCGCCCTAGGCACTGAGAATACGGCTCCGGCTTAGATTGCCAACTTTTCATAATGATAACTCAAATTGATTATCAGAGGCCTTAGTACGAGTTTGATAGAAACGAGACCGCGTTCGGCGCTCTGATGGGATGGTTCATTGGCGCCGGCCAATCAGAGCGCCGAACGCGGTCTCATTTCGATTACTTTAAACGAAAAACTACACGTTTGGCGCGGTGGCTGGGTAACCGGCTGCCGAGCAACGCGTAGAGAGTTCGATTCCCGCACAGAGCAACTCTTTGTGATCCGCAAATTAATCTTTCGGGTCTGTGTATGTGACGTATTGTACGCGCGCCCACGAGACAGAAGAAAATTCGGGGCATAGTATTTAAAAAAAAAAACAAAACTTACTAAGCTCTCTGGTCTTATTAGGCTTTTGTCGTTTACCAAAATGTTATTGTTTATGGGGTTATCACAGTCGATGTCAATATCACAGGAGCAGTGTCAGGGCAATGTCAATATCACATAGATAATAGTGATAAGCCAAATTGTTTGACCTTCGGTGCGCGGAGTTCGAACAACGCAACAATCGCCGCGTTGTCTTTAGAATGGCTTAAAACTAGTAGAGTTCCTCGACAAACAGTTATGTGGTAAGCCGAAAAACATAATAGTTAATTTTATTAGTAAATGAGGTTTTAACATAAGACTTTTCATTTCAAAGCTAAATCATAATTTGACATTCCGATAAATTGGCATTCTGAGCTAATACCAAATCTATTCTAATTATAATACGGCGCGTCGAGTTCCGCGCGCGCCTCAGAGCCATCAGACCACCACGGATGGGAGGGCCCAATAGGGCTGATGCCGATACGGAGCCTCGGAGGACTTAACAGGTTGCCGGGGCTCCGGCTCGAAGTGCAGGAGTAGGAACGGGGTTGTTTTTAGTCAGTAAGAGTCTGACACATCCCGCCTCACCCGGGCGGGAGAAATCATTTGATGATATTCCCCCCTTAAAAAATTCTAAGTATAATACCTTAATTATATTTATTATCGATACGGCGAAATTGTAAATGAAACAAAATAATACATTGTTTTGTAAAATACAATATTTAATTTATTTTTGTGTAATTCATGATGAATTTTGTTGAGCAATATTTGTTTCATACATAACTAAATATAACTTTCGCCTTTATTTCAAAAAAGGTTGAGGTTGTAAATAAATTAAAGATATTTACGACATAGCGACTGTATTCGCATGGCTAAATGGTGGTTCACGTAAAATATTGATAACAGAGAAAAGCCAGCCAGAAAAAGAGAAAATTAACAAAGGTTTGGCTGTATTCCGGAATTTAGTTCTGTTTAGTCCTTAGGCCTTAGTTCAACGTTAAAGCTATAATAGTAATAGACGAAAAAAAGTTATATCTTTATATTCCCATTAGCTAAAGTTTTAGAAACATCGCATAATATTGCTCAACAAAAAAGTCATTATTGTGGACACACCATTTAAATATACATAGATAATAAGTTATTTACAAAAAAAAAACAATATACATAATTGTCTGTGCTACCTTCTATTATTTCGAGCATTGTTATCCGTTGTTTTAACTGTAATGCACCTCTTGTCAAGGAATTTCAGCAGCTCCTGTAAGCAATCATAATAATAATTGATATTATTATACAAATGATATTATAAATAAACATGATGATGATGATGATTTATTTTTTTATGCTTTCATTCATACCCATATTACAAATTAGGTTTTGGAAATTGTTTTTTTCGCCGGTGCGAAACTCCGCTGCCGCGCCAGATAAGTGATTGGCGGGAAGAGCTCCGGCGCGATCTCATGGCGGAATGGCAGCAGCGACTGTTACAACCGAGGGCTGGGCTCGCTGCCATTGCAGCGGTAAGTCCCCTCTTTGAGGAGTGGATTGAGAAACGCTACGGCGTCCTCACCTACTGCCTGACGCAGGTCCTCACCGGACATGGAAGTTTCGGGAGGTACCTGTGTCTCCGGCTCGAAGTGCAGAAGGGAACGGGGTAGTTTTTAGTCAGTAAGTGTCTGACACACCCGCCTCACCCAGGCGAGCAGTCATTCGATGATTTTCACCGCTTAAAAAAACATTTTTCCCTGAAGGTGTGTGCAGAGATGCACATTACTACACTTATTGCCACTGCATGTAACACCCACTTTTCACTATTTATGTTGTGAGTCCCATGTAATAGGGGGTGAGCCTATTGCCATATGCCGGGCACAATTCCAGGCTCCGTGCTACTACTGAAATTTTTAAAACCTCAGTGATTCTTTGCCCGACCCGAGAACCCTTGCCAACAGTCGGCAGTCGAATTTGCAAACACTTGGAAGCAGTCGCGCTAAATAATAACATCGTACTAAAAATACCGTTAGCAGCCATGACTTCGAAGACTTGATATAGTTTTTAAACGACTAGACCCCTTTATTGTTTGACTGATAATAAAATACCTACGTATAATACAATGATGCTCACCTTAGGATCATACCGATGTCCGTACCCGACCAAATCCCTGTGTATGACGTCGATGTTCACTGGCTCATACCTGAGTATGGCCTCTCTTAGAGAACGACGACTTAGTACATAGTTGTGGAACGCTATATGTAACGGTACCCGGCAGGAATGTACCTGTAATAGTAAGTAATTTTATGGGTAAGTAGATAAACTACATTCGATTTTCAACATTACTGTTTAGGTTTAAAGTCGGAAATCCAATAAAAAGGAAAAACTTAAAGATACACAATAAGTTTAGTTTAAAAGCATAGAAAGTAATTTAAATACCTTAAACAGTCGGGACGAGACTCATGTATGATGGAAATGTTTAAGTCCAGAATATTCTATAGGATCCCGCCCGACTGTCAAACGAACAGAGGCATCACGACTAACATAAAGCGATCACATGTAACACCAGAGGAATAACAAGTTTTTTTTAAGGGGGTAAAATCATCGAATGACTTCTCCCGCCTGGCCTGGGTGAGGCCGGAGAGAGTATCACCCTCTTACTGACTAAAAACCACCCCGTTCCTACTTCTACACTTTGAGCCGGAGCCCCGGTAACCCGTTAGGTTCTCCGCGGCTCTTTTTAATTGAATAGGAGGCTAACGAGCAGACGGATCACCTGATGATAAGAGATCAGCGCCGCCCATGGACACCCGCAACACCAGAAGAGACACTGGTGTGTTGCAAGGTTTGAAGGTCGTATCGGTCCGGAAATACTGCCGTCAACAGATCATTCCACAATTTTGCTGTGCGAGGCAGAAAGCTACGTGGGTTACAGGTTCCACTGGTCATAATGCAAGCGGTCTCCACTTACACCATTATAGATCTTATTTCCGATGTTTAGAGACTACTTTTGTATGAAAAAATGTTGTAGACTTTTCGGACATTTAAGAGTTTTTGCTTAAAAGAAGAAATACTTTACCTTAGCCTTCTCCCTTTTCTGAAACACCCAGTCATCTGGACTGCAGTCAGTAGCCTTCACTATCGCAAGTTCACTACTGACTTCATAAGCACACACTTCTGAACTTTTCTGGTCGTTAGAAGTAGGAGATATACATCTATTTCTTTCTAACTCACTACTATTTGTATGTGAAGAGTGTGCTAAACCATTTTGGATCTTCAACGGGGACGATTTAGGTCGAATTTGGGTTGATTTTGAAGGTGATTTAGCAAGTTCTTTTGGCGAAGAATCTTGTGTTAATGTCAGTCTTGGTTTTTTACAAGATGGCTGGTCTTCGTCGACTAGTTGTTGTACTGTAGGATGCATTTGATTGTAGAGGTGCGTGAGAATTTTTATAGCTGGAATTTAAGTACAAATATTTAATAAGAGTGATACAAAGGAGTGAGATGGACAAACAAGACTTGATAATTTTTATTACTGAATTCTAGACTTTTTTATACTTAATAGGTCGACGTTTTTAGACTTGATATCATCAAGCTACTAAAAGAGTACTTTTCAAAATCTGCAATCAATTGTCGACCTTATTGCAAAAACGTAAAGTTATCGTAAAGCCAGATCGTAAAGTCATAATTACTCTTTGATGAGACCAAATCAATAAGATATTAAATCCTTACCTCTTTTTCTTTTAAAGGGCTTCAACCCATATTTATCCAATTCCTTATTCCTTTCCGGAGTCGACATGGATGTATAATCCGACATAGGCGTTACATCACAAGTTTTAATGACATATTCAGACTTATTAGGTGTTTTAACATTGATCACACCATTAGTATTAGCTAAAACATCTTGAAACTCTTCCGAACTAATATCCATATTAACATGTACTTCAGATTTATCAGTTTCTACTTCATTTTTATTTCCGAAATTGATATCTGGAAGACTATCTATAGCATTTTCATTTATAATAGAAACTCTTTGGCCAACTTCACTCAAATTTCTAGTACCATCTAGTCTAGTAATATTATCCAAAACAGAAATGCTACCGAAATCAAAATTGTTCTAGGAAGCTCGTATCTAGATTTGTGAAGAGAATAGTCTAATTCTTTGTCCGATATATGAAAGACTTCGGAATTTTGACTCGAATTTAATTCTTCGTCATTGTCATCTACAATTTCTATTGGATTAACATCTTTGAATGTAGAAGGATCTGTTTTTGTGTCATACTGCCATCTTTATCATGTCTTTAAAACTTTCCGTATTATAACTATTATCTTCATTAATAATTTCATCGTAATCTATTGAAATGTCGCCATTTTTTCCTAAGCTGCTATTGTTAGGAATACTTTCTTGTCTTTCAATAGGATTAGATATTTCTTCTGATGTACCTGAACTTTGCGTTAAATCTATATCATCTGTTTGTTCTTTAGAAACACTGTTATTGGCACTTTCTTGTTCAATATTTCGTTCTACTTCTTTACTTATATCAGATTCTGAATGATCGTGAACAAAGTCTTCATAAAAACTGGTAGAAGGTTCATTATCCTTTGGCAAAATGTGACTGGAATCAATTTTCGTTTCTTGTCCTTGTGTTAAATCAAACACTGGACTTTCTGCTCTATTTTCAAAGAGCATAGATTCTTTAACTATATTATTAGAGATGTATTCAACTGGTTCTACAATTATTGTATCATCTAAACATGTTTGGGCATGTGAATCGCCGAAATTAACCGAAGGCAGCTCATCTAAATCATCAGAGTTGGAAGACTGTGTTAAATTCACAGTTTCTCCATCATTTTTATCTTTATTGTCATCTATAACTTCCATGCTTTTATCATGCTCATTTGAACTTTGTGTCAAATCTACATTGTCTTCTTCTATGTCCAAATTATTTCTGTTATTAGGAACTACTGTTACGTTTTGTTCATCTGTAACATTTTGACTGACACTATCACTAGTTTCTTGTTGAGTATCATTAGAAATATTTACACTTACCTTATCTAGATTAATGCTATGATTGCCTTCCCTAATTGTTTTGTTAGCTTCAGGACTCTGTGTCAAGTCAATCTCTTTAAATTCTTCTCTAATAGGCTGCGAAGAACCAACAATACATTCAGTGATTTCCATAAAATCATTAGATCTTCTTTTTGTTACATCCTGAGATAAAAGCACACCTTTCTCAGAATTCTGTGATAGGATATTAACATTAGCACACTGAGTCAAATCCATAAAGTTATCTTGAGAAAATACTTTAGTTTTGTGCTCTTGAGACAAAATGTTTGTAGGTTTGGAAACATCTATTATAGAAGATAGTTCATCATCAAATATGTCAGGCGAAACACTTCTATACTGCTCAGTTACTTTTAGTTTATTCTTAGTATCTACATCTCCAGCATTTTTACTTTCAACTTTTTCTTTTATAGGAGATATTATTTCAATCACATCATTTACACATGATTCATTAACAAACAGCCTTTTAACAGGCGTTTTTGGACAAAACTTTTTGATAGGAGATTGCATTCAAAGCTTTTTCAAAAGGTGATTTATTAATTGCTTCAACTTCATGATTATCATCAATACTTATATACTGGAGTCCATTTTATTTATTACTTTGTCTTCATCATCTATTACAATACTAGGCACATCCTTATTAAGTTCCTTATATTTATCTAAAACATCTTTGACAGACTTGATAGAACCACTCAAAATTACATCCAGCTCATCTTGAGAGCAATCAATGTCTTTAAAATCCATTGTTATTGGTTGTTCAAGCTTAGGACTCTGTGGTCTTCCTGGAATTTCGGACCAGTCTCTTAGTAAAGCACCATTAGTAGTCGACTTCTCTACTAAATCATGTACATAGAATATACAATCATCTTTCATGCATGCATACAATGTATTGGATGCTAAATGAAAAACTCTTGCTTCCAAATTTTGACTATTTTGTTCTGAATAAGATTTGTCGAGGTTCTCAAAGAGTACTTGTGAATACTTGCCAGTTATAATTTGTTGTTTTTCTTCTTCAGATGTAGTAAGAAGTTTATATTGTTTTCTAAGTTTTCTAGTTTTTTTAACAGCAGTTATTTTAGCTTCAGGAACTTTAAAACCGTATTCTTGTAATGTTTTCCTTATTTTCGCTACTCTTTGTTGGGAAGACAAAGTAGATGAGCTCTCTTTATCATTGGATTCTGTTTGAAGTGATTTAGACAATGCTATAGCTAGTTGCAATTGTTCTGAATCTACATCTAAACCAGATTTCTTACAGACATTATCAAACTTTTTGTGTATGCTTCTAGTTCATTTTTCTTTCCTTTCAAAGCTGTTCTTATATCTTTCTGGCCTTTAATGCGTTTAGTTACCTTCCTAGTCTTAGGTTTAGCTGCTTTTGTAACCGGTTTTGGCCCTTTACAACTTTGTTTAGCTTCCTGGAAATCGGTAAGGCTCTCATCCATATCAGGCTTGGCAACAAAGTATTTGCTTCGGACGCATTTGCTGAAATGGAACAAAAATAAAACAAATTATTTATTTACACAATTATTTTTATTATCTACATTATCTATGTATAAATATTACCTATTATTATCTATGCTCATAATCTATATTCCTGGCTGGTCTGGTCTTTGGCTTTCTTCCATATGTTTTCGTATTGTTGCCGCTGAACGGTTTGGAAGGCCGCTGGCGATCATGAGACGTCTCTCTACCTCTTCAATCGGATCTTCATATAAGGGTTCTATAGCTTTTCGCAAATTAGCAGTTACTGGTACGAAACTAAAAGAAATAAGTGTAATATTAATAACAACAATAGTATAAAATAATTATACTGGATGTTTATAAAGATAAGTGGAACTTGTCTAGACAAGTTTGTTGACAAGCAATGAACGATATATTTTATTGGCTAGTTCTCTCTCGCGAAATATAATTATGTTTGAAATATATTAATATTACTATGTTGGGTCAAGACATTGGGAAGTATTAAAATAAGATATAAATTTAATTTCATTAAATTCCTCGTTTATTTGTAAAAACAGATATGTAAACATTCGTTAGTGTTATATTGAACCGAAGTTTACCTACACTTAACCTCAAAAAAATTAGAAGAACATAAATCAAAATACATACTGGAAAATCAATCCCGTAATGATTCCAAAACTTAATATGCTTACACCAAGTATATTGCGAAATTTAGAGGCTGGTGTACCAGTAATTTTTCTGGGTTTCCATTTTGACGTATCTACACCAATCGCCATGATTGTTTCAAAAAAATCGCTATTCCTATTTACGACACTTGATAGCTTGACAGGTGTCCTTTTGATAAGTTTCTATAATAAGTGTTTTTCTCACAGAAATACATAAAGTTTTATTAATATTCAAATTTTATCACCATTTATTTTGTTAAGTAATCTTGCAACGAAGTCAAATTATTTTGGATCAACCGTTCCATTTTCTGAAATCGCGTAATAGTAATAGACTGATAGTTTATGCATCAAAAGGACTGCAACTGTTATGTTCATTTATTGATGCGATCACAAATATTTTTCTACTTCTAATATTCTATACTTAATTAATTATTTTATTACTTGGACTGTAGTATGATAATAATTAATTTAACCTTAATCATCATTTCAATTTTTCAAGCAAATAAACTAGGTCCGGTTCTATTATAAGTTAATAAAACTAAATTAGACAATAGCTTAAGTCTTTAATTTGAACGAATTTGATAATTGATAACACTACAGCCATTACAGCTGACTGATTGATTTTTGATTGATTGAATCATAGATCATTAGGTACGGAGAGTATTTATTCAGCGCAATTTACTTTTTGAATTTAGTTTACCTACAAATCTAAACCTGAGTGGTTGAAGTGCATTTGTGCACTGTTTTTGTCTTCTTTGATTTACAAAAATTGTGTAAATTCCTTTCAAAATGTCTCTACTACAGAACTTGACTTACAGAGAGTATCAACATGCTTTAGAATTTACTTTACATCGTTGTGAAATAATAGGAAGATTGGCCAACATGAAGTAAGTTTTGAACTTTTTATTACATGCTTAATTAAATTTATTATTCATTGATGCAGTCCATAATTATTAATTTTGAAAGTAATTTTGGTGGCATGCAAGTAGGTAGAGAGATATACTGTGGGTAACTAGTAGGAGTATGTGTATAGTAAAAATTTAATATATTTCATATTCTTATGTCCTGTGTTTAAGTTTATTCTATGTCCTGTGTACCTACCTAAAATATTCATTTAAAAATATCTCTTTTTCATAACCATAATTTTGTATTATTTCGTTTTATTCGAATTTAAATTCGGTCAACTTTATAATAAGGTGCAAGTATTCCGTAATAATTAACAATAATTATAAAATCCAATGAGCCTTTTACCAGTACCCACATTTGTGTATGTTGCATTGCAACAGATTTTTCTAGTAAAATAAGTAGAAATTAAAATACTTACATCTATTCAGTTTAGTAATAAAATAATAATATGATGTGTGAAATATTTTTTCAGACTTCGAAAGTCATTCAATCTTTCTTTACGTTTTGCTATATTTTCTCAAAAAATACAATTTTGAAATGATGTAGGTAGATGTATAATTTTCTATGTTTTCCAGAATACCATACACAAACACCACGAAACCTGGCGAGACCTTAGTAAAAGCACTTGACCGTGCTGGATTTTCTGCAGCTGCATTTAGAAAACTAGTCGCAGATTCTGCCAAAGTAAAAACTATTACTACATATTACAAACCTAAAGCAAAGATTGCCATTCTAGTAGCCAACGATAGATATACACATTTATCTAGATTGGCAACTCCGTCAATAGACTGTGACTCTCTAGCAACTCTGCTGAAAAATGCTGGGTTCATCACTATTAAGATAAAGAATACTACAGGCGCACAATTGAAACTTATTCTGGCTAAGATCTTTGACCTGGTTGAAGCGGATACTTATTGTAAGTATTTAGAGTCCCTTTTCTTTAAATTGTTTAGAAGTACTGTTAATTTGATTACTTCTAAACACATAATTACATTTTGTCTTATGACCCCAAGTGGCCAGAAACTTACTTGTACCCGTAATGGTTTAGCTCTATGGGTGGTACTAAAAACTTACCATTAGGAGATCCATCTAATAGGGTAGATGACTAATTTTTATTTTAATGTCCGTCTAGAAAACATTAGACACGTATTTTTTTATTTTTTTACAGAAACGAATATTGATTTTAAATGTCGCGTGACGTCACTTCTATGTCTCCTAAACTTTGATTCGTTATAATATCTAAGTATCATTTTATTATAAGCTAAAAAAATACGTGTCTAATATTTTTTCATTATCTAACTGACGGACTAATTACATTTTTTATATTCTTACCCTGTAAACTACCTAATTGTATGAATTTCTTAGGAAAAATACTGGTCATAAAAAATATATTCTACCCTACATATTGTTAAAAAAATTAACGAAATGTTTTCTTTTGCAGGCTTCTTCTTCTACGCAGGTCATGGTTGTCAACTATGCAATACAAAATGCATGTTAGGTATCGACTGCCCAACAGAAAATATCGGCTTGGAACATTGCGTTACTGAGAACTTTGTTCTTAATGCAATGACCAAGCGGAAACCTGAACTGGGGATGCTTATCATGGATATGTGCTGCGTATGTTTGGATCGGTAATATAATTTGTATTATTTTATTTAACTCTCTAACTAGACAACTTATTAGAGTGATAGATGACGGTGGTGTGCTTAGGGTCTAGTGCAGGTTTGGGGGATTTTGATAACCAAATCTACTGAAGATTTAAAACCAAAATACCCCCAAACCGAACGAAGTGGACATAATTATGTTCCATACAAAATAAATATTTCAAAATTCAACTTCTAGACAGTTCTACCTTCGGACAGGTTAATGACATTGGCTATTATGTGTTATCGTAAATCCGTTATGTAATTAATACAACGTAGTATTATAACTAAAGCTGTTTTTAATTGATTTACATTAGTATTTAGCACAACATAAATTGCTTAATAATTTATTTAATTATTTTTAAATTACCCCTTGATATATTAATCGATTACCATCCTTTGTGTTAGTATAATTAAGGTTCTTATTTCGGTAATTAAGCCGTATGTATGATCTGATTATATTCGAGAAAGTTTGTACATCTGAAAAATGCCGAAGTGCAGTTCTTTCCCAACTAGGTATATTTTCTTGCCCTAATGCACATCTCAGCACCAACAGCCTATCCCCTGCTGAGCAAAGCCTCTTCTCACACGAGAAGGTTTGAGCACGAATCACCACGCTTGCTCAATGCGGGTTGGCGATTTCAAACTTATAATTAGAAATTATAAGCTCAGGTTTCCTCACGATGTTTTCCTTCACCGTTTGTCTACATAATCTTAGAAAGTACATATAACTCTGAAAACCTCACATTGGTACTTGCCGTTGGTAGGTTTTGGAACTCGCACGCTCATGCATGAGAAGCGGGCGCCTTAAACCTCCGGGCCACCACCAGTGCATCTACTTTTTTTTTTTTTTGGTTGAGTTCTGCTACATGGCAATCTGTTTTTCAACAATAAGCCACTTCTTTGTCTGATTTCTCAGTTTATGTTTTCTTCAAGAGCCATATTTGTATGAAAATTCCTTTCACACGACTCTCTTGTCGTAGTGCATCTACTAACCATAAAAATATTAACAAAAAATTCACTTTACAGCAACGTCCACCCCAACATCTTCGCTTCAATCAACACCATTGAAGAGTACACTGTACACAAGAATTTACTCATAGCATATTCAAGCCAGTCTTCGCAAAATGCTTATGAAGAACTTCAGATCGAATGCTCAACTACCATCAACAACGATCAGACCTACGAGCTGAAGACTGGCGATACGGATAAAATTGTACCAGGAGCTAGCCAATACGTAAATTCTTTGTGTACAAGGATAGATGAGGACTTGGACGCAAATACGTTGCTAGATAAAGTACACGAAGGTATGTAGTATTTTACTTTTTTTTAATATTAAAAAACTTTGCCCGTAGTTACTTGTATTTTGTCGTGTGTCGTGGGTTTACGAACATGTAATTTCATATACCTAGCACACAATTTATGGATTAAAAAAAACAGTGCGGGAATCGAGCCCACGATACGTTGCACGGCAGCTGGTTGCCTACCCACTGCGCCAGTCGTGCAGTCAAAGATAGCTATTATTAACATTGCTAACTCTACGTTAGGATTTTCTCTGATAATTAATAGTTTCATAAAATAACATCACGCCTTTTATCCCCGAAGGGGTCGGCAGAGGTGCACACTACGGCACTTAAGCCACTGTACAACATCCACTTTTCTCTGTTTATGAGTCCCATGTAATAGGAGGTGAGTCTATTGCCATATACCGGGCACATTTCCAGACTCCGTGCTACTACTGAGTATTGTTTTAAACCCCAGTAATGGTTTGCCCGACCCGGCAACGAGCCAACGAGGCTAAGCCTAGCCCTAGCCCTCCATAATAACAAATGGTACCTAGTCCTGAAAAAAGCTTTCTAACTACACACGTCTGGTCGTTATTGGTCGGTAGGCACATTTCTTTAAAAAAAAAAAATAAAAAAAATAAGGCACATTTCTAATACATGTTTGCCCGTCATCCTTTGATATGCAATAAAAAAAAACTTATTCGAAACTACCGCCATTATATACTATACTTAATCCTCATCTATGTTCAAGTTTCCGTTTTATGCTCTTAATTAAATTCCAAATTAACACTATGCACAACAAAGGCCACTTGAAAACTCAAAATAGAACTGTCCGTTCATCAAGTTTTTCTCTGAATAAAGTTGTATGTACCAATGGAGTATTAACTTTTGTTTCAGATGTTGAAAAATCAGTTAAGAAGCAAAAACCCACGAAAGTGCAGTGCGGTGTCGATAAAAGATCATTGTATGATCCTCCAATAGGTTGGTACCGTTTTTTTACATTCCAGACGTTTTTAGGATGCACTAGACAAAATTTCGTAATTTGATCTATTCAATAACATAACATAACTTAATGCCACTGTACAATGTAACACCCACTTTTTACCGACTTCAAAAAAAGGAGGAGGTACTATGTTCGGCTGATTGTTTTTTTTTTTTTTTTTTTTTTTTTTGTTTGTTCGCGCAGTACTCCGCCGTTTGTGGACCGATTTCGAAAATTTTTGTTTCGTTTGAAAGGGTATACTCCCGAGATGGTCCCATTTCCATGAAGTCAGGATCTGATGATGGGATCCTAGGGAAACCGAGGGAAACTTTCGAAAATTCTATGGGGGAGTAATGCGTCTATTATGTTTTTCAATTACGAATTTTAAACACTACAATTTAATAAGGGTCTGGAGTCGACTTGATGATGGAGCCGACAGACAGTCGAGGGAACTCCTCAGTGGTTTATATTAACTACCTTGTGTTTGGGCTTAATTAATTTGTATTGATGAGGACTTTACACCTAGATAGAGTGGGGCTGTCATTAAGGGTCTGATGATGAAGAAGTGTAATTGTTAAGGGAACTCCTCAACGGTATACAGTAACTACCTTGAGTTTGGGCTTGATTAATTTGTATTGATGAGGACTTTGCACATATGTATATTATAAGTAACAAAACGGGTATATGTAGCTTTACACTGAAAATGGTAAAATAATAAAATAAAAACTGCGTTTAAAAAACCGACTTCAAAAACCAAAAACTAATACAAACAAAAAGTCAATACTAAAAAGCAAAAAATAACTATTATTAGTACTGATAGGTTACCCACCCACTGATAGGTTAGAAGTCGGTGCCATAAGCTCATATCATAATGATATAACTTAATGTCCACAAAATTGTGAATTAGATACCTATTAAGGTTTTAATGAATAATTTTGTATGGAACTTATGGCACCGACTTCTTACCTATCAGTGGGTGGGTAACCTATCAGTACTAATAATAGTTATTTTTTGCTTTTTAGTATTGACTTTTTGTTTGTTATTAGTTTTTGGTTTTTGAAGTCGGTTTTTTAAACGCAGTTTTTTCACTATTTATGTTATGAGTCCCATGTAATAGGGGGTGAGTCTATTGCCATATACCGGGCACAATTCTTGACTCCGTGCTACTATTGAGATTTTTAGAGATCCAGTAATACTTTGCGTGACCCGGGAATCGAACCCCCCGAGACCCCTAGCCCGTTGCCAGGGCAGTCGCACTTGCGACCACTCTGCCAACGAGGCAGTCTAGTCAGATCTATTAAATCCTTACTAATATTATAAATCGGAAAGCGAGTTTGTTTGTTCCGCTTTCACGGCGTAACTACTAAACCGATTGCTTTGAATTTTAGCAGAAGTAAAGTTAGAAATCTGGATTAAATAATAGGCTACTTTTTATTCCGGAAAAATCTGATATTCCCGAGGGAAAACAAAAGTATTGGTATAGACGGCGCTGTGTGTTTTGGTATATGTCACATGGGCTACTTTTATGCTTTTGTGACGCGAGCGAAGCCGCGGGTGAAAGCTAGTATTCTTATATAGCGGCCCGTCCCGGCTTCGCACGGGCATTAAACATTACATTTAGATTTGTTAATTTTAACACATTCATAATAAAAACTTGATTGCGACTTCTCGCTCTTGACGTCTGTTGTCGTTCTCTCTGATCTTGAAGGCGTTGGAAACGCTCAGAGCTTGATTCCCTAGTGCGAGATTGAATATTTCTGATATTTTGCTCTTCAAGCCGCTGCAAACGCTGAGTACTTGACTCTCGCGCATGCACATGAGAGGTTCTTAGATTTTGTTCAGTAAGGCGCTGCGAACGCTCAAGACTGGACTCTCGCGCGCGTACCTGAGAGGTTCTCAAATTTTGTTGAGCTAGACGCTGTAAACGCTCAAGACTCGATTCTCGCGCGCGTGCTTGAGAGGTTCTCAAATTCTGATCAGCTAGTCGCTCTGAACGCTCAAGACTGGACTCTCGCGCGCGGACTCGAGAAGTCCTCACATTTTGTTCAGCGAGCCGTTGAGAACGCTGCAAACTGGATTCTCGCGCGCGTATTTGAGCGGTTCTCATATTTTGTTCAGCGAGCCGTTGCGAACGCTCGGTACTCGACTCTCTAGCACGCGATTGTGCCACATATTGTCTATGAATTGAAAGACGATTCTCAGTTTCTGATGAAGATTCTTCATTTCGACGTATTTTTGATGCCCTGGCCTGGGAACTATTTCTAGAAAGTTGAGATCTTGATCTTTTAGGCATTTCAAAATGACAAAAGAAAAAATGCCTTTGAACTAAATTAGCATAACTGTAAGCTATATATGCTACTATATTACAACGTACACAACTACCTACTATTTATTAAAATTAACTTGAAAATCATGAAAAATATTCAAGTAATTTATTAGGTTAATAACTAAGTGAACAATATTTTATAAAAATGGGTTTAGTTCTGAAAAGAACTTTTTAAATCGGTTTAGTTACTTACTAAACGAATTATTATCAAGCGTAAATTCCGCACACGTCCATCACGTAGGGAGCCGACCGCGCGAGTGAGCCGCACGGCAAGTTTATTTCGTGATCTTAACCCCCCTCCCGTACCCCTGCCCGAGTGACGCCTACAACGCATAGCTAGCCGAATACAGTTTATTTTTTAATTTTTTTTTAACTCGTGATATCTTTTGAATGGATTGTCAGAATCAAATAATTCAAAAAGTAATATAAAGATATTGAAGCAGTCTTAAATAATACATCATTTATTTTGATAAGGGTTTAATACCAAGGTACAAATAAAGAGCTTTTTGTAGCGGTGGTATTTTTATTTCTTTTTTTCAATAAAAAAATGCTTATTGTGACATGACTGTAATAGTTAGAGATATGCTGCCGCTGATTTTTTGTAGATAATGGTGTGTTCTAAAAAAATGTAGTATATCATTTTGTTCTATCATCAATAGTTTTCGCAGCGCACGCGATGTAAGGTAGTTTTTTGATATTTTTTTCACACCTTGGATTACGTTATCGTAATTTTAGCAAGGATGCCTATTTTTTTTGAAAATGAAATATAGCCTATGTCACTCAGGAATGATGTAGCTTTCCAACAGTGAAAGAATTTTTCAAATCTGCCAAGTAGTTTCGGAGCCTATTCAATTCATACAAACAAACAAACAAACAAAAAATCAAACCTTTCCTCTTTATAATATTTGTATAGATATCTAGAAAGAAACTATTTGCTAATAATGTAGGTCTAACTATCATGTTTTGTTCCAGGTGACACACAAGCACTGCTTAGTAGATTAAGAGAAGCCACCCAGGAATATAAAGACAATTGCGTAGTCTATTAATTATTTTACAATTTACGTATTTATTAATTATTTTAGATTTAAGAAAATTACGAGCTTAATTTAGTTTTAAGATAAGGTTCTGAAGTGTGGGAGAGCCATGTTTCGTAACAAATGGGCCGGCTCGACCGGAGTGATACCACGGCCTCACATTACACCGACCTAAAACCATACTTAGATTTTTTAAGTTAACTGCGTGTGTGAGGTTACCGGTGGCCCAATTACTTCCCTCTCCTTTCTCCCCAATCCTCATATCCCTCAAAAGGCCGGCAACGAAGTTGTTAGTCTCTTGATCTTGCGACTGCCCATAGGCGGCGCCGATGCTCACTATCAGGTGATCAATCTGCTCGTTTGCTGGCCCATCCCACAAAAAAATCCGACATACTGTGATACCAATAACTATAATTAATTTTTATTTAACATAATAATAGGATATTTAATGTAATTTTAATGACTACTATCGGGAATTGAATGCAATTATTTTTATATTTATAAACTACAATATTGTAGGTAAACTTTTTATAACTTAGATGATAAGGTGCATAAGCGATAATATTATTATTGCGAACTGTTATATAGGTTAAGGCAGGACTTTGACATTTCTTCTTTCTTCGGTGGACCTGTGGTTTTCGCCCTAATTTTGTTGTATTATAGTTAAAAGGCCGTTAATTTCAACACTAGATAATTAATACGTTTAAGTACTAAGTAGGTTAAGAGATCACGAATATATACACACAGTAAATTTCATAATAAAGGGTATGAAGAAACCGCAGAGCCCCATACTAACATCTTTTTCTTTCTTTCTGTTCATTCTAGTCATAAAAAACTAACCTGCACCCAGTGGCCTCTCAGGCCAACGAATGTTCTACTGCATTTCCATTAACATTAGTTTTAATAAGAATTTGTAAATAATAATTGTTATTATTATGAAATAACTGTGATTATTGTTATGAAATGAAATGAAATAAATTGACAATAATGAGAACAATTCAACTGCATTTATTTTACACTGTCGGAAGCTCATTATAGTGTTTAGTTTGACAAACATCAGAAAAAATCCCATATAAAATCGTGTTTTTTTGCTGCAACTGAAACAATATTTATTTAGTAAAGAAGCAAACGTTTTCCTAGTCTCAATAATCTATTCTTGCCGATAATATTTTTACATTTTGTACAGAGTATTATGTAGTAGAAAATTTTATCTCATTCTAGCAAAATCTACTGACAAATAGGTTATTGACCCTTGGGGCTTTTCGAACGCCTGGAAAATGACTTACATTACATGCATAAAGCCCTTAAAAGAATTGTCTACAACATCTATTTTTTTATGTAATCTCTGTAATTATTTTCACATATTTATTATAGGTATGACATGACAGTCTTATAGCATGAACAATATATTTATTTATTACACAAATTCTAGATGTGATAGACAAGTTTTTCGACACATAAACAAAACAAATTGTTTCAGTTGCAACAAAGGTTTGACCAAAACAATCACTTCTTCATAACATTTTGTGGCTGGAAGTGGTTCACGATATTAATCCACCAACTATCTTCTACTCCTTTAGTGAATTCTCTTATAAATCTGTAGTTTAGAATAAATATCTTGTCCTGGTATTCTGGTTGTACACTGAAAAATAAATATTAAGGCATTAAGTCCACCCAATGTACACTTTGTGCATGAAGCTTAAATTAATAAACAGAAATTACGTTTATGTTATTACTTTCGTGAGTCATACTATTAATTATCATGTTTTTCAGCTTACTCTTAATCACGTAATAATTTGACGAGGAACTCGACTAGTCAAGTCATGCTAGAGGCTCATTTATGAGCAGCATTCCGCTACCTGCCACGAACCGACTGTTAGAGTAGCAGCGCGACAAATTCCTCGTCAAATAATTACGTGAGTTAAGGCCGCCACACACGCTAGGGTTTGCATGATGGTTATAACTTATAACTTTGCATGCAAAACCGACAAGCATAACCGAGTTTCATAGCACCGATAACTGTACAGTTTAATCACATACACGCTAGGGCTTGCCTGTCAGTTATGCATGCACGGCCTCCTTTAAGCAAAAGTCAAATAAGTACGAAAACATAACACTTAAAGAAATTATATTCATAAAGGATTGTGTGCACTTCTGTTCTGCAGAGGGCCTCTGAGGAATTATAGTTTAGTCATATAGGTAAAGTGACCGCATGTTATTTTTGAAAAATACAAAATAAGTTATGCTAACTAATACGGAGGGATACATACCCAATAGTGATAGGTGGTAAATCGCCAGCATCTTTCAAATGTCTGAGCCCTCTGAATACATGGTAGCACATTGTTATTTCAACCCAGCGTTTGTCCGCATCATCAAACATTACACCAATCTGGAAATAGGAATATGTGTTTGAAGACAAGCCTTCCTATTAGTCTGCGACTAGTAGTAATTAATGAACAACTGACCACGAGAATTTTGGCTTAAGCCTCTAGCAGACGGCGTATTTATATACCCGCAGGAAACGCACGTTAAACGCGCGTATACGTGCTTCATATGAGATAGGAATACAGCATTGTAATTGTAATCTAATCACACGGAGCGATAGTGAAACGCCGTAACGTATAAAAACACGCCGTGTGTTGTGGGCCTTACTATACCTACATAGGCAAGACATTTTGTCTAAGCAAGACTTGTCATATGAAGGAACTAATGTTGTGAATATAAAATGTCTTATAGGATTTAACTCATCAAGTACCGTATTTATAGACACAATTAAAGAACAATAGGTTGCGGTCACCGGTGACCGCTTGGTGTTTGACAGTTTAATCTTGTACACATATCTATCTTTATTAGTGTCCATCTTATTCCAATTAGAATAGACCCTCGACCAATAGGAATCAGTATTAAAGCTTTGAAACAACCAATAAATTCCGTTTTGTTCTTACCTGATAAGGAAAGGCATAAAAGATATCTTCCTTCTCAATAGACAGCAACTGCCGCTGTGAGACTGAGAGCTTTGAAATGGCAGACTTTAGCGCCGTAATAGCATCCTTATCTACCAGACCGTCTAATGACTTGAAATCACTCTTTTGTAGGCATTCTGAAACAACCTGACATTGCATGTTAGTTGCTTGTGGGTGAACAGTTATCTGATAATCTTCAAGGGTTCGCATGGTGGTCTATCAGAATATCTGATCATGTTATAGAGATATGGGAATCAGATGAACCACCTTGAAGGTTAACAGGGCCTTGGCTTGAAGCAGGAGCAGGACTAGTGTTTTAGTTATTAAGAGTCCGGTACTCTCTCTTGCCTAACCCAAGCTGGTAGAAGTCTGTTTTTTCCCCTCTCGAAAAACATGGTGGGTATCACAAGAACCTTACTAGTGTGTGTATTTTAAAAACAGAAACTAACTAATAATAATTCAAAGATTTGAAACATGACCAATGAAAGAGGTTTTTAGCACAAAACAGTAAACACTATTTATAGTTTTGGCAAACTCACTTTTATAATAATGAGACAAAATGTTGCTTTCAATCTTTATTTCTTATTAGTAAGATTAAAAGGTTGTTTACTAGTTTTTACTGCTTACGTCACTCAATATATGAAGTTATTTATATCAACGGTAAGGTATAAACAAAGATATTATTTGAAATGAGTATTGTAATGTGGTTTTCAGAAATCATGGTAATGAGAGCATTTTTGAGGTTTATTAGTCTTAAAATAACTTTTCTAATAAGTAAACAAAAGCATAAATACCTGAACAGCATGTTTTGATCCTTCAATGAACTCATGTAAGCTGAACTCCTGGTCAAAATAAGGTCTGATGATAAAGTTTGCAAACATCCAATTCTTTATGAACTTGATAAATGAAGGCCACACGATTGGCGGGAATTCCATAAGCTGCGGTAATTTTCGCGTTTCTGTTTCCAAACGCTCCTGGCAGTAATTCCGTAATTGTATAACAGGACATGTTGAGGTTATGGGTATGTGTTTAGATAAAGTTTTATGTGCAAATGTGTCACATAATCTAAAAGATTGTCTCGTCAAGACCCTTCTTATAACAACATTCATATTTTCTGCTATATATTACTGGTAAATTACTTTATTTACTGAGTAAAAATGGTAAGCAAAACATTTAAATATTAACTTTTCTATTATCACCAAAACTATTTGTTTTTGTATCAACTGTCACTTGTTTTGTCGTAATATTTTACTTTACTGAATTGTGATTGGATAATAATAGGAAATGCAAATGATTCAATTGGCTGTTGTATACCGGCATCATTGCAACACCGAAAACATAGAAAAAATATTGATAACATTATGATTTTGTTTATATATTCTGCACATTGAAAACAGTGATAAATCATAAATGTTTGTATGTTTTTTTATATTTGTATAAAACAATATTTTAATAAAATATATCAGTTAATTTTATCACAAGAGAATCTACCGCCAAAGACAAGTATTCATTAAAAAAAAAAACGTCAAGGGTGACAGCCAAAGTCAACAAGATATTATTTAAATTTTTTAAATAAATAGTGAATTATTGTTAAACTTGTACTCGAAAGTGTATTATTCACATCGAGACGTGATTGTGTTTATTAAAAATGAATTTAAAGGCGAAATACAAGTGGCCTGTCTTCTACATACTTTAAATCTTTCTATGCGTTGACTTTTATCTGCTTCGACGCGCTGACAAATTTGACTCGCTGTCAAAAAACGATCCTAACCGTCTCCGAGCATTTCTTCCAACTTTGCTGCTTGGGCGAACAGTCTTTCTCAAGATATGGACGGCGTGGAGCCGCGGAACACCACGGCAGCGCGGCGCTGCGCGACAGCGCGGCGCTGCGCTACAGCGCGGCTGCCCGGCCTTGACCGATTTTTCTTTTTATGAGTTTAATTATTATTGTTTAATTAGTTTGTTTAATTTTAGGATTTTTGATACATTTTTGAGGGCTTTCGACCTACATGCATCCATGTGATGCAGCTGTTGAGTCTGGAAGTGCTTCTCAATGTGCCCATCAACCTCTAGAGAGCCTGGTAAGATGTTCTTTATGCTCTCAGCCTCGATTTTTTAAAGGAGAACGCGGGTTAAGAATACATTATGGAAAAATCCACAAATCTCATAGTGTATCCTTATCCCCCTCTAACACTACTCCTCTACAAAATTCTTTTCCGGTTTCAAATCAGCCTTTATGGGAAACTTTATCCAAATTCAAAAATTCAACACCCGTTTTAAAAAGAGTTCCTCGTGGTGCAAGACGGTCCGTTGCTCTTAATTTAGGAAATTGCATTCGTCTTGCAACTCGAGAGAACTCTTTCTCGGCTTGGGAGCAGTTACTCACCTTCCCCTACAGGATTCTACACGTAAAAAAAAATTTGGCTGTTAAAAAAAACTTAACCTCACAAATTAAAAGTAATTGTAATATTTTGAACCCCATTTTAGATCCAAAATTTCCTAACTCCTTTAATAATATTAAAAAAACTCGTTTTGACTACGTAGAATCCAAATTAGGTGAAGGTGATATAAGTGGAGCCGCCAGGCTTTTATTCAGTAGTGACGTGGTTGCTCCCTACTCTTCAGAAACTTTTGAAGCTCTGAAGAGTAAACACCCGCCTGCTAGGGCTGACCTCACTTTTCCCGATCCTCCTGAACATGATATCCATATTTTCACCGCAACTGTCCAGCAAGTAGCTGCAGCCGTTGGCTCCTTCCGCAGTGGCTCTGCTGGTGGACTTGATGGTCTGACTCCTCAACATCTTAAGGATTTGACGGGGCCAGACGTCGGGGAAGCCGGTGAGTCTCTTCTGAAGGAGCTAACGGTTCTGGTTAATTTAATGCTCTCCGGTAATGTGACGGATGCCGTTATCGACATTTTGTACGGGGCCAATCTATGTGCCCTACGCAAGAAAGATGGCGGCATACGCCCCATTGCCGTAGGATGTACTTACAGGCGTATGGCAGCCAAGTTGTGTTGCAGCTATCATAAAGATGCGCTCATGTCGCACTTTCAACCCCTCCAACTAGGCTTCGGCTCAAAAGGGGGTTGTGAGGCTGCCGTACACGCCCTATCATCTTTCTTGAATGCAAACGAAAGTGAGGTCATCCTTAAGGTTGATGTAAAAAATGCATTCAATTCCATCAACAGGGACACTTTGTTGGCTGAAGTTAAAAAAGAATTACCTGAAATTTACAGTTTTATTTGGCAGTGCTATAGACAACCTTCAAAATTATTGTATAAAGACAAAGTTTTGGATTCTGCGGTAGGCTGCCAACAAGGTGATCCTCTTGGTCCAGTCATTTTCAGTCTGGCCATTCACCCTATTATTCGGCAACTTAAATCTAAATTTAATGTTTGGTATTTGGACGATGGAACCCTAGGAGGTGACGCAGATACTGTTTTCCATGACTTACAGCTTTTGATTTCTGAATTTAAATCCATCGGATTAGAATTAAATATTTCTAAATGCGAAATTTACCTTCCGGACAAAATTATCGATAGTCAACAAATTTTAAACACTTTTTCTACCGTAGCGCCGAATTTAAAAATTGTTGATAAAAACTCTCTTCTTCTCCTGGGTTCCCCAATTTTCGAAAACAGTTTCTCTGATTTCATAAACGAGAAAATTAAAAATTTCTGTGACATTTCCGATAGACTTTCCAAAATTAATCTACATTGTGCATTTACTTTAATTCGCTATTGTTGTTTCGGCCCAAAATTTATGTATTTTCTGCGTGCTTCCCCTCTGTGGAAGCATCCGCATATTCTGGACCAAATTGATCAAATTATCCGTGACACCTTAACTTCACTTTTGAATGCTTCTATGGACGATCGTGTTTGGCTTCAAGCCACACTACCAATTCGTTTTGGTGGTCTAGGCGTCCGCAAAATTACCAGTGTAAGTTTACCGGCGTTCATCTCTTCTGTCCACAGCACTAGAACGTTAACAAATAAAATTTTAGCTGGTGTTGACGCTGAACCTGATGTGCCGTGTCTGACCGACGCGATGAACGTCTGGACAGAAACATGTCCCAATACAGCCTTGCCTGTCAACCCTTCCTCCCAGAGACAATGGGACGAGCCGCTTTGCAGGTTGGTGCATAATAATCTAATTAATACCAGCACCAATCCTGCGGAGTTAGCTCGCCTATTGGCTGTGGGTGAGTGGGAATCAGGCCTCTGGCTTCAGGCACTTCCGTCACTCAATATTGGCACGATGTTGAATGACTCAACTTTTCGGCTTGCTGCTTGCTTGCGTGTAGGTGCACCCTGTGTTTCTCCGCATCGCTGTCAATGCGGTGAGATGGTCGACCACCTCGGCCACCACGGCCTATCGTGTAGCAGAAGCGCGGGCCGGATAGCTCGACACGCCAGCATTAACGACATTATCCGCCGAGCTCTTATCATCGCCGGTGTGCCAGCTGTTCTGGAACCAAAGGGTTTGGCACGCGACGATGGTAAGAGACCCGACGGTATGTCCATTATGCCCTGGAAGCTGGGAAGGTCTTTGGTGTGGGACGCAACCTGCGTTGACACCCTTGCACCTTCTCATCTTCCAGTAACGGCGGGTTGTGCTGGTTCGGCTGCTGCCTCTGCAGAAAGCCTCAAGCGGCGCAAGTATAACAACCTTGCTGGTAGTTATATCTTTGAGCCGTTTGGGGTTGAGACGCTAGGTCCGTGGGGTCCGAGTGCACTTAAATTGTTCCAAAACATTTCAAAACGCCTGGTTGACACATCTCGTGACCAGAGGGCTGGTCTTTTTCTCGGTCAGAGGCTAAGCATTGCCATACAACGTGGCAATGCTGCCAGCCTTCTGGGTACTTTCCCCACTGACGTCGATGCGGACGAATTTTTCGACGCTTTATGTAAATAGTTGTTTTTGTTTTTTCTTATAATTAATTTTAATCTTTAGTTGTATATAGGTATTTAATTTAGTAATATTTAGTTTTAATTTTTTAGTTTTAATTTAGTAATATTTAGTTTTAATTTTTTTTTTTAAGTAATAGTTAGTTTTTAATTTAAGTTTTTTATTTGAATAAATGAATTTATTAACAGTATTCATTATCTGTTCCATAATAAGCATCTGTCAGCTATCAAGTTGGCAGCTGGTGGTGGCAGATGTCAAATTGTAAAGAAAAAGTCGGCTTTCTTTTCGATTTTCGGCGGAAAATGTTATAAACTTACTTTACAATTTTGCAAAGTACTTTTTTTTTTTCGTAGAGTGAAACATCTCAAATTAAAGCCAACATGGATGACCAAGCCTGTCCACGTTGTAAAACAACGAAATACAGAAATCCATCTCTGAAGTTGATGGTAAACGTATGTGGCCATGCTTTGTGCGAAAGTTGTGTTGATTTGTTGTTTTTAAAAGGTAAGCAGATATTTTTTGCTCTATCATTTAACATATCATATTAATTGCACTCTACTCTCAATAATTTCGCCATCGTTTTTAACTCCTTTCAAGTTGACATGTTTAAAGTCTCATACAAATTCTAACTAATTCATTCCAGGCTCAGGATCTTGTCCAGACTGCAACGTACCATTACGGCGAAGTAATTTCAGAGTCCAACTATTCGAAGATCCCATGGTAGAAAAAGAAATTGATATCAGGAAAAGGGTTTTGAAAGACTATAACAAAAAGGAGGAAGATTTCGCCACATTACGTGAATACAATGACTACTTAGAAGAAATAGAAACTATTGTCTATAATTTAACTAATAATATAGATATTGTCGGCACTAATAAACGGATAGAACAGTACAAAAAGGACAATAAAGACATTATAATGAAAAACAAAGTTAAAATTGGTAAGTTGATTACGAAGAAGTTTGTGTACCAATTCATGTTAGAATTATTTAGTCCCTTTAAGGACTAAAACAAAGTGTGGGAGAGACATGCTTCAGCATGAATGGGCCGGCTGGACCAAAGTGATACCATACCCTCACAGAAAACTGAATGTGAAAATACACTTGTACATTTGTGGTATGTTTTGTGGTGTGAGTGAGGTTACTGGAGGCCTAATTATTATTACCATCACTGAATCCCCAACAATCCTCAAGTTCCTAATCCCCAAAAGGCCAGTAATGCACTTGTTACACTTCTGGTATTTTGGGTGTCCATAGGCGGCACTAATTGCTTACTATCAAGTGACACTAACAATATTACTGTCACTTTGTTTATTTCCATTATGAAATGAACCAGGGTATATCATTATTTAATTAAACTTTAAATATTGACAACTCTAAACCATCTTGATTTACTAAATACAACCAAGTTTAGTTGGCCAAGATCGTAAGTGCATTTAAACTGTCAAACACCGCGAGGACACCGGTGACCGCAACCTATTGTTCGTTAATTGTGTCTATAATGATGGTACTCAAAGAGTTAAAATAATATCGGTACTGAATTCTGTCATCAGTAGATAGGTATGAATATTAATGTCAATTTTTTTATGGAGGACTAGCTTCTGCCAGTTACTTCACCTACAGTCCTGTAGGATGCAAAGTAGCCTATGTGTTATTCGAGTGCATATTTAAATTACCCTACTTCCGAATTTTATTCTGATACCTTCCACCGTTTTGACGAGACACAATAACAAACAAAAATACAAACTTTCATATAGACAAGATGATGAAAACTGACTGTTAAACATGTGACAATTTCTTTCTTACTACCATTTGTCTCTTACAGGCAGAGAAGAAGTGGAGTTAGAAGAGATTTTAGAAATAGAGAAGCAGATGGAAGAGCTTCGTAGAGCTGAGATAACACGTTTAGAACAGGAAGCGAAGAAACAGAAGATTAGAGAGAAGGAAGCGTTGATTGATGAGCTGATGTTTGCGGAGGGTGATGCCAAAGACATATTGAATACATTTGCGCAGAACAAAGCTAGTAAACAAGAGGAGTTGGTTCCTGTGGTGCCTAAGGTGTGTATCTTAATTTTAGTTTAATTTACCTATTCTATTCATGTATAGAAATACATTTAATTCTAGAGTGAGCGTGCTATGATCATTTGCCTCCTGCGTTAAAAAAAAACAATGATTACTTTTGAAACAATTGCCCAATAGCCTAGCACTTTTTAAAAGCTGCCTGGAATCTCGTTAGCAATGCGTGCGTGCTTGATGCTGTAAGTGTGCTAGGGACCTGTTGAGAAGACGTTTGTTACCAACAGGTTTTCCTGGGCGGCAAAATGCTCATCACGTGCCCACTGACGTTTGGCAAAAAGACATTCCAACTCTAGGGTTAAGGAAATCATAGTGTCATTGTTCATTTTTAAAGTGCACTATCTAAAAGGAGTCATCAAAAAGTCTAATTAGATTACAGACACGTATTTTTAAACTGAGGGCTAAGCACGAATAACTATCGCATTCGTATCGTAACAGTATCGAGCGAGTTAAGCGTTCTGATTGGTTGGTTCACTTGAGCCAGCCAATCAGAGCGCCGAACGCGATCGATACTATTACGTTACGAATGCGATAGTTATTCGTGCTTTGCACTCTGGTATTCGATAATTTTTATAAAATGTAGTTTGTGTGAGTGCATTACTCACGGAACTGTTTGACGAGGAACTCGACTAGTTTCAAGCCCTTCTAGAGGCTCATATTCATGAGCAGCATTCCGCGACCCGCGTTGCGGCGACTATCGCGCTGCTTCTTGTCCTCGTCAAATAGAATAATTAATTCAGTATGTCTCACGAAAGTTATAATATAAAATGTAAGTGTTAGAAATTACTAGGTTATTTTTTATATTTTTACAGGTAACACAATTCTCAACGGGTGTGAAATTCACGCGAGTGTCGACGCAACCTACGCTACCACTCATAGAAGAGGGGCCGTTGTATAAGTATGAGCCATTGGCCGTGCCGGACAGATGTGGACCTGATCCACCTTCCATTGAAGATATTGTGGCTTGTGGATATTTGAAGCATGTCAGGTTGGTACTTATTTATTACTTTGACATCCTTGTTGTTCGGATGGCCACTAAGGTCAGGAAGTATTTTTAATTGCTATTATTATTTTTAATATTTACCATATTTCTAAACTAGCTGTGCCCATGACTTCGTCCGCGTGTAATAGTTATTCACAGCTCCTCCCCCGTAGGTGATAGCGTGATAATATGTAGGTAGCCTATATGTTGACCCCGACCTGTTAGTAATATCCGTGCAAAATTTGAAGTAAATCCATGCAGTACTATTTGAGTTCAGCCTGGACAGACATACAGACAATCAGACAAAAATTCTAAAAACCATATTTTTAGCTTCCGTATCGCTTGTAGATCAGGCCCTAAGCTTTTTTTTAAAAAAATATGCATCATACAATTTTAACTTTCATACGATTTTATTATAATTATGTACATATGGAGACATAAAAACGTAAACATATATTGAACCTTATGCCTTTGTTTACAGAGCCGAAACTGAAACAGAGAAGGCCGGTGGCTACAAATCCACATTGCCGTGTCTACGTGCTTTACAAGATGCGTTGGCCGGCCTGTATCACGCGAGCTGACCTGACGCGATCAACGCCGATACTGTTATAGTACTAGATTGAGTCAATAGATGGCGGTAGTGTACGAAAGGGTCTCTAAGGGCGATGTTGATGGTTTTTTTATGTTTACTGTTATTTTCTTTTGTTTTATTGTTGTCCTAAGTACTATTTGTGTGTATTTGTTCCATGCAGAAATCGATACGATGCATTTGTTGGTAGCTGCAATTATTTATCGTATGTTCAATGTTAAGTTATCTCTGTTTCTTTATGTTAAAATAATATTAGACGAACATTGATATCTTTCAAGCGCATTTAGGAGATATCTAGTTTGGTTGAACATACTGTACTTGTATCTAGCTAGTTACTTTTCAACAAAGTATTAATAAGACTCGAACTGGCAAAAAGTTTGTGTTAATTTTTGCAATATAGGGCGAGAATCAGATGTTATGTTATTTGTTTTTTGTGAATATTCAACAGTGCTCACACCATCAGACCTAAAGCTACACTAGCGCCGTTACTCTACTAGTGGGTGTAAGAGGAACTTGTATGATTGTTAACAACAGCTTTTAACAAAACAGTATTGCGTTGAAAAAATAAGAATTTGGAAAAGGAATGAGAAACTTGAAGTTTAAATGGAGAATATTAACAGCTTTTCAAATCTCTAGGTTAAAACTCTAAAAGAACCTTAAGTCAGGAGCTATTGGATCTATTTTACGTTGATGCTTGAAGAATCAAAGATGTAAAGATAAGATATTACTGGAGATTTGAATATTTGAATTGAAAAGGAAACATGCTTACTCTACACAACGCCACGTAACTCAAATATTACACGGAATGAAGTGTTATGTGCCAATGTGGACAGACCTACTTGGCGCCATGTCGTCGGCCAATGCTCGCGCCAATATTGGCCGAACAACCGAATGTTGGTTTTTCGTGCGCATATCAAAAGGCGTTCAAACATTGGCGTCTCATTTAGTTAGATGTCATTCGTCAGTAAAGAAGGTACTGTCGCGCCGTCGTACGTGAATTATGGTTCCTGAATTACAATGGCGTGGACGAACACTGAAATTTTACATGTCATTGCAGTGTACAGAAAAGACATTTCATCATCATCATCATCAACAACAGCCTATAAGTAGCTACTGCTGACCATAGGCCACTTCTCACGCGCAAAAGGTTTGGGCATTAATCACTTCGCTTGCTTAATGCGGGTTGGCGATTTCAAAGGACATTTACAATTCACTACATTGGCCCAACGCGCTGGTCTAATTCATTGGCCCTAAGTGTAGAGTCGCCTTTACATTTATGCTTTTAGCGTGGCGTGATGTGAGATAAATATGTTACCTCAATGTATTTATAAATGTGTGTTGAGTTTTAGACTATAGGATGAGTTATTGAAGAAACGAGACTATACTATCTTTGTGTAATAATGTCTAGCGTACGACTGGTTTCGAGCCACACCGGGGCTCATAACATAATCTTGAGCGCTGCGAAACACGTCTCAACGTTATGTTTGTCTCATTCTTTCTCGTATATCTTCAATATCTTCATCCTTGTCTATTAATGACGTTTCTCTATGAATGTTGCCAATGTAAATAAATGTACATAAGTGTTAATTTAATGCTAACTTAAGTACTTGTTTAAATACATTGTCGGGTGGTTAGTTACGTTGTTGTGTTGTTATTTGCTGTTGTTTTGTGATAATTAAAGTGAGTGAGATTGAAGTTTGTTGTTTTATTTTGTGAAAGCCTAATAGATTTCCTCCATTGGAGGCCCGATGATGCAAATGATGATTTTGGGAGTGTTCTTCGTTAAGTCGACTACAGTTGACTTTAACGCCATCTATCAAGACTGATGGTAACAGAGAGTCCTCTCTCCGGATAACAGATGGCGTCTTATAAGATTGAAATTAAAAATTCGCTTGCATAATTATGTAATCGGTGTTCCGCGCAAATAAATAATATTTTCATCTTTGGCTACCCCTTCGGAGACAAAAGACGGAACATGTAACAAATTCAAAAGGTTTATTATATCTACTTATCTAGATACCTACTTTCTATAGTAGACGGTGAAGTACCTATCTATGTAATGTACCTACTAAAGGTTTTATAACTATTTACGGTAGAGACAGGTGTAAGCAACACCGATAGATAATTCTTTACCGGGAACCACAAAGAACTAAATATTGTAAATTACTATAAAAGCAATGACGAAAAGTCAGCGTTTCTAAACACTTTTTGAACTTTATGCAAAACAATAATAAAAAAGGTTAAAGTCAAGGATACACTTTTTTTTTTTTAAGGGGCGAAAATCATCGAATGACTGCTCCCGCCTGCCACCTTTTATTTTGCTATTTAAAGTACATTGACGATTATAGGTAAGAAAAAAAGTACACAGTATAAAAATAAAGTACAATTTATTCTTATTTAGTATTATATTTAAAAATATACTTTTTATTGCTTTTGCAGTTTGTATTAAATTAGTATCTTTACTAAACAATTGCATTGAAATACTAAACAATTGCATCTTTACTAGAAATTGTCTAAGTGGCACTGGCGAGTGGCGAAATCGATTCAACATAAGTCGATAAATATCGATATCGAATTTTGCAAAAATAAAGTATTTTCGTGTACTTTATTATTCTTATAAAGTATAGAGTACAATTACCTTAAATAACGTACAATACTTTATTATAAAGTACGGGTGGCAACCCTAGTCCAAAGTGACGTGTTGTTGCCAGACATGTCGACGAAAGTCCGGCAATGTCATGCTACTTCATCTAACGCCTCTAGCAACACGTGTTGCAGGACATTGCCCCCGAATATATCCTTGACTTCAGACACCTTAGACTTAGCAATACCTTACCTACATAGGGAATTAGGTAGGTACCTACAGATGATCAAGCTTAACTTTTGCTGAACATCCTAGACTTCGCCATCTCATTTGAAGATAGGCGTGATGACACCTACTGTGTGTTTTATGTCCCTATCTTATTGGCCAAGTTTCAAGTGTAAAGAAAGCAAGTGATCGCGGGATCAAATCTTGGGTTAATTAATGTGGAAGTTTGACAATTCTTCTATTACTCGAACTCGTAATAAAATTGGTGAAAAATACTATATATAGGTACAGTATAAAATAAAAAAATATATAACAGTAAAAATAATACCTACAGCATAAATCGGGTCTGGGTGTCATGTGTATGTAAACTTGTATGTTTGTAAACGCACCCACGACACAGGAGAAAATGCTAGTGTGGGGCAACGTTTTAAAAAAAACAATAACAAAAATGTAATTATCATCAACAGCCTATAAATGCCCACTGCTGAGTAAAGCCTCTTCTCACACGGAGAAGGTTAGAGCATTAATCACCACGCTTGCTCAATGCGGGTTGGCGATTTCAAACTTATAATTAGAAATTATAAGTCCAGGTTTCCTCACGATGTTTTTCCTTCACCGTTTGTCGGCGGTGTCTAAATAATCTTAGAAAGTACATATAACTCAGAAAAAGTCACATGGTACTTGCCGTTGGTAGGTTTCAAACCCGCACCCTGATACAAAAATGTAATAGTGACTTATAATAAAAATAATACTATTAGACTTATGACACAAGTTAAATCATTGAAAGATTGAGAACCGCTTTCCAAAGGTATGCCTTGTGTACTGTAAGGGCGAGCGAGCAAATATTGTCGCACCGATAAAGTGTAAAAGCGCCGCTCGTTGGTACTAAACTATGACAAATATAATGCACTTTGAGTTCTAAAGGGTAGTGTACTGACTGGACTCTTAAGTAGAAGATAGCGGGCTTATGAAAAAGTGTAATAGGTACACACGGCTACACATCGAGCTATACGTAACCAGTATAAACTGAACGTTAAATGTGCGGAAAGATGATGCGACGCGATACCAGGATAAACTGGTTTTGTATAGTTTGATGTGTTGCCGTGTGTACAATAATAAAAGAAAAATCTTTTACCTACCACTTCGAGAACTTTAATAAGCGCGAGGATACATGCAATTGGCATGATGACAGGGTATGAAAATTAAAAATCTAATTAGTCCGTAAGTTAGGTAATGAAAAAATATTAGACACGTATTTTTTATTTTGTTGTATAATAAAACAATACTTAGATAAAACGAATCAAAGTTTAGGAATGGGGGCTAAAACGTCATTTCTACGTATAAAATGTACATAGAAGTGACGTCACGCGACATTTCAAATCAATATATCGTCGAAAGTATTCGTTTCTGTAAGAAATTAAAAAACACGTGTCTAATGATTTAAAATAACCTACCAGACGGACATTAAAATAGAAATTAGGCATCTACCCTCGAACAAGCCGATCGCCTTGTCATTGTAGTTGTGTCTAGTATAAAGTATAGGTAACTAAAAGAATGAAACAGTACACTTTTGTATTTGTTGACGTTTCAAAAGTATCAAATTATGGTTTAATTAAAATAAATGCCTTGACTTTGACCATTTAAGAGAATATTATTGTTATGTCTCCTTAGTATTTCTTTAATAATATCGCAATACATCAAACCTGGAACAACGAAATTAAACCCGCAACACGTTACGTTGCAGCCGATTAGGCCCATGCACCAACTGCATGAACAATTCAAAGGAAGATTATAATTATTGAACACTAGTTTTTACCAGGGTATTCCTGTTTTACCCCATGGGAGCATTTAATCGGGATAAAAAGTATCCCATCACCTAAGTCAGTCTACCCTGCCTGTATATCAAATTTCATCAAAATCCGTTCAGTAGTGTCAGCGAAATTGACGGTCAGATATCCGAACAAAGAAACTTTCACACACTTTTCATTCGCTAAAACGCGAGAACAGCTGAACCGATTTGGATAATTTTGGTCTTGAAATGTTAGTGATAGTCTAGGGAAGGTGTCGCGGAGAACCTAACGGGTAACCGGGGCTCCGGCTCCACGTACAGGAGAAGAAAAGGGGTGGTTTTTAGTCAGTAAGAGTCTGACACTCCCTCCCGCCTCACCCAGGCGGTAGCAGTC